TAGTGAAGCAAGTGCTAGGTTTAACCCCAGATGAGCCACAGACTACACAAATTCTTGAAGACTTCCTGACTTTCATGAGAGGGCTCATTTCTCTTCCTCTCTATATTCCTGGAACTCCATATGCAAGAGCTGTTAAGGTACCTAATATACGAATAATGTTTTACGCAAACTTGTTTTGTAAAACAATGTTTATTTTGCCAATGAATCAGAATCATAAATTTAAATAAAAATCAACATAATTAATGATTGTAAGTATGTTTATATATATTGTTAGATAGTCTGACAAGAGAACATTTTCCTCCAAAATAAAAGTCTCTATATCTTTTTAATACAAAACCAGCTACGTGTATGGGCTCTCTTCTTGTTTATTACAAAAAAGCAGCTAGGCATATAGTGTGACAATTATTATTTCTCTTTACAGGCTAGAAGGAGGATATCTTCAACTGTGAAAGCAATCATAGAGGAAAGAAGAAGAAATGCAGATGGGAGCACTAATTCTTGTACTAAAAGAAGTGATTTCCTTGAGATACTTCTGGATGTTGATACCTTATCTGAAGATGAGAAAGTGAGTTTTATCTTGGATTCTCTATTGGGTGGCTATGAAACCACCTCTCTCTTGATGGCCATGGTAGTTTATTTTCTAGCCCAATCACCATCTGCATTACAACGATTAAAGGTAATTAATTACCCCAAAAACTCTTATCTCCTCTTTCATACAAAGCTTAATTAATAAGTTACATTTGATTAACTTTCTTTAATATATCAATTATTTATAATTAATTTCTCTTTTTTGGCTTAGACAAAATGATATTAATTTTTTAATATTTTATTTTTTGATATACAGGTAGAGCATCAGAACATTAGAAGAGTGAAGCAGAAAGATGAGTATCTGAACTGGGAAGACTATAAAAAAATGGAATTCACCCAAAATGTAAGACAAAAAATCTCATTAATTTTTTTAGTATTTTATTATATAATTGCCCAAGCTTTATTCTTTGTCATAGATTTAATTTGCACATTTTTTTTTATAATACTTGCATCCCTCTCACAGGGGATGATCTCATTCCCCACTTACAAGTAGCGTATCTTTATAGTCGAAATTTCATAATTGGCATGTTAAATCTCTTAACCTTCATTTGAAGATCATTTTTATAAAAAAAATCATACGAATTGGATATCGTTTACTCATCTAAATGTATCAAATAAATTAACGGTGTAAGAACCAAGTAGCATATTCATGATAAAACCATTGATTTATTTCATACATTTAAATGACAAAACAATATCCAATTCGAATAATTTTTGTAGAGATGATCTTCAAATGACGATTAGAAGAGTGAACAGTCCCGGTTAGAAAACTTTTATAGTAAAAATATGTTATAAGTAAGTGGGAGAATGAGCCCACCCCCAATTGAAGAATGCAAGTATTTACAAGTATGTCATTTGCAGGTCATTAACGAAGCTCTCAGATGTGGAAACGTTGTAAAATTCGTGCACCGAAAGGCTCTCAAAGATGTGAAATTTAGAGGTAAAAGTAGTACTAAAAAAATGCGATGACACACAATCGAGCATGCAAACTTTTTATACTTTGCACTTGCAGTGTGTGTGACGATCGATCTGTTAATTAATTAAACAAAAAATAAGTGGTTTTTTTGTGCAACTTTCTGCAGATTATTTAATTCCATCTGGCTGGAAAGTTTTACCAGTTTTTAGTGCAGCTCATTTAGACCCTTCTCTTCATGCAAGTGCTCTTGAGTTTGATCCTTGGAGATGGGAGGTAATGACACATATTAAACTCATGATTCAACCTAATAGGACTTTTCTACAATGGACCATCCAATTTTCATTAATATAATGTTGTCATCACTACATTGTTGATCGCATCTCTCTTATAAGGGTGAGGTGCATAATTCAAGACTACAAGGACATGAAATTAGTCTATTTGTTACTTTGGCCAGTTTCCAGTTAATTTTATAGATGAATCATTTTCCATTCAACAACTTTCGTCAACAAAATTGGACCTCATCAAATAGAGTCAAAACAAGGTGTTATTGGATGTAACGATCGTTGGCTACTTATACATGAGCATATGGGCCATAAACAACATGAAGTGTAATTGGTAATGTTTGTAATATATTCTTATTGATATATTATCTATAAGCACAATAATGATACTGTGAAAAACATGAGACTTGGGCAGAAAATACCAAGCCAAGACCAAGTATGCAAGAAATTTACTCCCTTCGGTGGAGGGTCTAGATGCTGTCCTGGATCTGAACTTGGGAAGCTTGAAGTTGCAGTTTTTCTCCACCACCTTGTACAGAATTTCAGGTAATCAGATCCATATTGTTTTTCCTAGTCATGTCAGATTAATCTAAACCATTCAATATGTTATAATCTACGGGCTAATAAATTGTGTCAAAACTTTGTCACAGATCCACCCCTCTATACATATACATATATATATATACATATACATATACATATACATATATATATATATATCCCTCTTTTGCACTATATAGTTGGGCTATAAAAGCAAATGGAATTAAGTTGAGCCAACTTTCATGTGTAGGTGGAGGACTGAGGACGACGACCAACCCATAGCGTTTCCATACGTAGAATTTCAAAGAGGATTGCCACTGTACCTGGAGCATTGCCCCCATTAATTGATGCATGGCAAGCTTGCGGTGGCTATCTCTCTCTCTCTCTCTCTCTCTCTCTCTCTCTCTCTCTCTCTCTGTGTTGCTGTTTGGAGTCTTGGAGATGGGCACTTACCCGAGTATATTTTTGGAGGAGCTACGCCTCTGATTCCATATGCTACATAAATTTCAGATCGAAAAGTTCTAATTCTGTAAATTCCAATTCTTCCAATTGTTTCTTTACATAAATGATGATAATCTCTCCTTCTCGCTCTTCCTTTTTTTTTTTCTTTTTTATAATAAACAATATTATCTATACTAAGAAGGTGAGGGAGTGGGCTAAGCCTCACACTGGGCTGCCCTCCCATTATCATCTCATGTATGATAATTTATATATGGCAACACCAATTTCAATAGGGGTTCTTTTAACATGCTAGTTTTAATAGTGTTTATCACAAAACTCTGTAAAGCATGAGGGGTAATCTGAAAATATGATTTCAAAACAACCTTAGGGGTGTGTGTAATTTGGAGATTTTTTTTGCTAACATTGATAATCTATGGACGGAATTTAACAGAGTTTTGTGAAAATGATTTAAAACCTCAAGAGTATTATTTCGATACTTATGTGTGTAGGGTGGGCGTTGTGAAAACACAAGGGGTATCATAATTACTAATTGGGTAAAATACAAAAAACTACCTCAATTATTGGTGTCGTGACACTTTTATATCTCATCTTTTAAAATTGACAATGTCATACCTCATATTTAGAATTTGGTCCAATGTTATACCTTCCGTTACTTGGCCGTTTACTTTTCAATTAAATGCTGACGTGACTTGATTCGGGATCTACTTTCTATTAAAAAAATCATTAAAATATTATTAAAAACTAAAAAAAATTTATTTAAAATTATTTAAATATTAAAATAATAATAAAAAGTAAATAAAATAAAATTAAATTAAATTAAAAAAAAAAAAAAAGCATTAGTTCATCCCTCCCCTCCCCCTCCCCCTCCCTCCTCCTCTCTCTTTCTCCCTATGTTCATTTTCTTCCCCCCACCTGCAAACCCAAAAAAAAAAACAAAAAAATTTTGAAAACCAAACAACCACCCCTGCGGAAGAACAAGAAGGAGATGGAGGAGGAGAAGGAAGAAGAACAAGAAGAAGAGGAGGGAAAAAAGGAGGAAGGAAAAAAAAAAATTTCACCCCCCCTGGGTTGGCGCGGAAGAAGAAGAAGGGAGAAGGAGAAGGAGAAGGAGAAGGAGGAAGAAGAAGAAGAAGAGGAAGAAAAGGAGGAGGAGGAAGAAGAAGAGGAAGAAAAAAAAAATGAAAACACATCAACACCCCCCTGCAGAAGAAGGAGAAGGAGAAGGAGGAAGAAGAAGAAGAGGAAAAAAAGGAGGAAGGAAAAAAAAAAAAATTTGAAAACCATCAACTCCCCTGCGGAAGAAGAAGAAGAAGAGGAAAAAAAAAAAAAAAATTTTTGAAAACCCATCAAACCCCAAATCCACCACTCTCATCCATTCTCCACATCCTCTTCTGCACCCATCATCCACCTTCTCTGCGCACCCAAGATCCCATCGACGGGATATGGGTTTTTTTTTTTTTTTTTTTTTTTTTGGGTTGCAGGAGGGAAAAGAGTGTGGGTGTGGGTGTGGGTGTGGGGGAAACTGAGTGTGGGTGTGGGTGTGGGGGAAGACAAATTGGATTTTTTTTTTTTTTTTTTTTTTTTTTTTGGGATTTGCAGGTGGGGGAAGAAGATGAAGATGGGGAGAGGAGGGAGGAGGGAGGAGGGAGGAGGGGAGGGACGAAATGAGGGTTTTTTTTTCTACTTTTTATTATTATTTTAATATTTAAAAAATATTAAATAATTATTTTTTAGTTTTTAATAATTTTTAATAGAAAGTAGGTCCTGAATTAAGCCACGTCAGCACTTAACAGAAAAATTGACGAAGGTATGATATTGTCACAAATTCGTAAGATGCGGTATGACATTGTCAATTTTAAAATATGAGTTATGAAACTGTCGTGATCCTAATAGTTGAGATAGTTTTTTGTACTTTACCCTTACTAATTAGATTAAATAAACTAGTCAAATTAGTTAAAGCCTGCAGATAATCCCATTTTTGTATCAAAGTATAACCTTTGGCTTCTTTTCTGTTTTTGCTTTGAAATATATTTATGATTTTTAATCCCATCCAATACAAGTTCAAATGAGTAATAACATTAGTAGTCATATATATAGTGGCATGTGGCCAGTATCCTAGTGGATATGGTATTGAAATTCTACGCATGCGTCCCTGGTCTGAAACTTTTCTCTCCCTTAAATTATTGTAATAGTTTAGCTAGAACTCTCCCCTCTCCCCATAATAATAGTAATATTTTCATTGCCAATAATTATTGTAACTCATTAGCTTAGTACACAAGAAACGTGAAACTAAGTGAGGTGAAGTAAAATAAGCTGAAGCAATATGCCTACTATTCTAGCTTTAGGCAGCCTTGACAACAATTGGACTCCTCACATAGTGTTTACCATCTGACCATATCAACTTCCCAAACACGTAGTTTTTATCTTGTTTTGCTTCTCTAACCTGCAGGAGTACCTTAAAGCTTTTCTCTTCACCAATTTTCTTGAACTTCAACTCCTTCGGCTCAACAGAAACTGATATACCATCTGGATTTTGGATACGCGCCTTATATGTTCCTGGAGAGCCAACATTTTTCACTGTTCTAGTCACCTCAAGGGAACCAGAGATTTTAGGGACAGTGATTGAGGGGTAGTTGAGGTTAGTGAGACTTATAGCTGGTTTGGAGCACTTATACATCTCCTCTGAAAACATTTCAATTTGTGTTTCATTGTAGCCAATTGCGCACAGGAAGTTCAAGTAATCGTTAAGGGATAAGTCATAAACCAATCCAGGATCCATAGCACTGTTTGGGTTAACATGTCCTGCGCCGTAACTAAATGGTGTTGCTTCATAGAAAGAAGCATTGAGCAATGGTTCCATACTGTTATCTTGTGTCACCGCTGTGTAACACAAGATTTGAAAAAAAAAAATTATCATACAGATGAGTAATGCTCTCTTGACAGACATTAATGTGAAGCGAATGCATAAACTAATGTGCGTAGGGACTTCTTACCAGTGGTCATGATTGCAGACTTAATGGCTGCAGGACTCCAATGAGGATAGAGGGTTTTAAGAAGGCCACAAATACCGGAAATATGTGGACATGACATTGATGTGCCTGACACTGAGTTGAATGGAATTCGCCGTTTGTCAAACATTTGATTTGTTGGCCCTTGTGCTTCTGTGTAGGCTGCTATGACACTCACTCCAGGTGCAGTGATATCAGGCTGAATTAATGTAAAACAACAGTTACCGAATACTTAAAACGAGCAAAAAACTTGGGGAGTCTGTTCAATGAACAGAAATTGTTTTGCTAATAAAAAACCTTAAGGATGCCTGGTGTAATGGCGTTGGGTCCCTTCGATGAAAATGCTGCCATGAATGGAGATGGCTTCGTTCCCAGTTCCGTTATTGCGCGCTTTATGTAAGCCCGTGGAGACCTATCAAAATATGTAAGTCTCTCAATTAGTAATTTTACCAAAAAACTTGATACTGCTGACACTGAAATGAAGCATCCTAACATGTGAAACAAATGCAGTCTAAAACTGGTAATTTGGAGGTACTTCATCCATCTTACTTAGTTGAATAAATATAAGCAAAGACAAGGTTCCCGTCGGTGAAATTGATATGTGAAGCAGGGAGAACATGTGGATCAGCAATAATTTCATTCCCGGTAAGCTCATTGTTAGCAAGAATCATTCCCACGGCGCCAGCCAAGAAGGCTTGCTCACCTTTGTCCACCCTTGCATTGTCCCCTCGAAGACAGGCCAATATCTTTCCCTTCACTTTTTTAGGATCAAGCGTGTTGGGCTTGCATAGCAAACTGCAGCATCATATAAGCAGATTACTTAGAGAACTTGAATATGGTTTTAGTACAATGAAAATCGAAAGTTTAATGTTTTTATCCTTACGCTTCTTGAGCTGATGCATTAGCTGCTTTAGCATCTGCAGCACTAATAAGTTGGTAGAATTTCTTTTTCTTACTCCGCAAAGCAACAGCCGATAAGCTTTGTCCCTTCAGAACAAAGTGGATAAAAATTACGGAAAATTTCATTTTAATCCTTGGTAAAGATGACTTTTAGATTAAAACCATAAGTAAGATCGAAATCTAATTTTAGTCCCTTGATACATTAATAACCTCATTTATTAATTATATTTTGATTCTTTTAATTATTTCTCTTTTTCTTCCTAATTTTTAATGTATTAATTTTATTTCATTTTCATTTCATTTATCGTGATATATTTTGTTGTAAACATTTAGATAAACTAATTTTTGTTATACAATATATTTCAATGTACGTTGTCTTCTTCATTTAGGTACATTAAATTTATTATATTACATTTCAGTACATAGATTTAGGTACACACATTTCGGTACATACATTTCGATATAAACATGTAGGTATATTAATTCAATATAATATATTTCGGTACTAACATTTCGGTGCATACATTTTGGTACACACATTTAGGTACATTAATTTAATATAATACATTTCGGTGCATATATTTTAATACATATATTTCGGTACTAATTAACATTTAAGTACGTTAATTGAGTCTTTCAAGTTTGAAAAATGTTAAATAAAATTAATAAATTAAAAACTTTTTTGGTAAAAAATTAAAATTAAAATTAAAATTTGTATACTAATAAATTTAAATATTTAATGGGGAGACATTAAATAAAATGCAAAATAATTATTTTGAATTAAGGACACATCAAGGGATTATAATCAATATGTAATCTAACACTAGGTTTATTTTAAATTTCAATCTTCTTGAATGATTAAAGTGAAAAAAAAAAAAAACCCTAGAAAACTTCATTTTAATCCTTAAAAATGATGAGTTTTAGACCATAACCTTATGTAAGATTAAGATCCAATTTTAGTCCCAAGTACATTTAATCATCTCATTGATTAGTTATATTTTGATGTTTTATTTATCTTTTTATTTTTATTTTAATGTACTAATTACATTTAAATTTAATTTTTATTTCATTCATCATAATATATTTTAATGTCCACATTTAGGCAACTCATTTTTTTATAATATATATTCTGATAACAATTTTGTATGTTCTTCATTTAGGTACATTAATACATTTGAATATTTCGGTATATCCATCGATACAAACATATAGGTACATTAATTCAATATAATGCATTTCAGTACGTACATTTTGGTACACACATTTGAGTATTGACTTTTTGTCACATCCCGGCCCGGGGGGGACCACTTCCAGGACCCGCTCCATCACCGTAGCACAATATTGTCCGCTTTAGGCCCCGACCACGCCCTCACGGTTTTGTTTCTGGGAACTCACACGGAACTTCCCGATGAGTCACCCATCCTGGGAATGCTCTCGTGCGCTACTCGCTTAACTTCGGAGTTCCCATGGAACCTGAAGCCAGTGAGCTCCCAAAAGGCCTCGTGCTAGGTAGAAATGAGAATATACATATAAGGTTCACTCCCCTGGGCGATGTGGGATGTCACACTTTTAGGTACATTAATTCAATATACTATATTTCGGTGCATACATTTCGGTATGTATATTTTGGTACATACATTTCGATATTGACATTTAGGTGCATTAATTCAATATAATACATTCCGGTGTATACATTTAGGTTCATTATAATATATTTCTGTGACATCCTACATCGCCCAGGGAAGTGATCCTTAAATGTATATTCTCATCCTTACCTAGCACGAGGCCTTTTGGGAGCTCACTGGCTTCGGGTTCCGTAGGAACTCCGAAGTTAAGCGAGAATTGGGCTAGAGCACTCCCAGGATGGGTGACCCTCTGGGAAGTTGCTCATGAGTTCCCAAAAACAAAACCGTGAGGGAATGGTAAGCCCAAAGGGGACAATATCGTGCTACGGTAATGGAGTGGGCCCGGGAAGTCGTCCCACCCGGGCCGGGATGTGACAAATTGGTATCAAAGCCTAACCCTGGCCGTGGTGTGCCGACGAGGACGTCGGGCCCCTAAGGGGGGTGGATTGTGACATCCCACATCGCCCAAGGAAGTGATCCTTAAATGTATATTCCAATCCTTACCTAGCACGAGGCCTTTTGGGAGCTCACTGGCTTCGGGTTCTGTAGGAACTCCGAAGTTAAGCGATAATTGGGCTAGAGCACTCCCAGGATGGGTGACCCTCTGGGAAGTTGCTCGTGAGTTCCCAAAAACAAAACCGTGAGGGAATGGTAAGCCCAAAGCGGACAATATCGTGCTACGGTAATGGAGCAGGCCCGGGAAGTCGTCCCACCCGGGCCGGGATGTGACAATTTCGATACAATCATGTAGGTACAAATAATTCGGTACAAAAAAGTCAATTTTATATATTTTGGCACAGTCATTTCTGTATACTTATGTATTTATATATTTTTGTATCACAAATTTCTTTTAATATTTTCTCATTTATGTTCATTTATAATTAAAGACCGAAATATGTGCATATTAATAAAATTAAAATTTAATGTGGAGAGATTAGATAAAAATACACATTAAATAACAAAAATTGAATATAAATTTTGATAAAAGTACACTTTAAGAGATTAAATTAAATATGTAATCTAGCGTCAAGTTTTTTTTTTTTTTTTAATTTTAATCTTTTACAAGAACTGTTGAAAAACCCGAGGGATTTGAGTAGTTTTGCAGGATATATATAACGTAATCTCCCCTCAAACACTCTTAACATGTCTAATTTATGTTAGAATAAAAAAGGACGCTAACTATTTTGGTACTCCACTCTTCTCTCTGTCTGCATTTCGGACTGAATATTTAACGAATTATATTTTCTGCACTCATGGATATGAGTGCAGGGCATAAACGAGAATGTTATTTTTATCATATTTTTATACCATGTTTTTATACTATTTTAGGTGGTATTTGATGTGGACAGCCACATCATTTGAATTAATCAGATTTTTAAATTTAGTTCATTATTTAATAAGGGAATTGTTATTAGCATTCCAAAAATCTCATTCTATACTCCAAACTTTCTATATTAGGAAACAAAAATACATTTGTTAAGAGTGTAGAATGAGATTTTTGAAGTGTCAATAACATTTTCCTTTAATAAACTAATAATTAACAAAAACTAGTTAATTAAATGATGATTGTTGTATACGAGCAAAGACGAAGCTACAGAGGCACAAGGAGGGGTGCCCCTCCCCTCGCCGGAAATCTAGCCTTGGAGCAATGGTTTCGCCCCTCTGGTCCCTTCGGAAATTATGAAATGCTGCTTGTTTCTGGTTTTTCCCTGCTACTATGCGCAGGGTTGTAATTCTTTTTAGAAAAACCAGGCCAGAAAACGAAGGCATTTTGGTCCTGCTTGAAAATTAAAAAATCCTTCCTTTAGTGGACGACGTCGTTCTATTATTGAGTTAAAGAAAAAATAAATTATTTAAACAGGGACAAGTCATCACTCGTATCGCTTCTTTTCCTTTTTAATTTGGGCCCGCCACATTTCGTTTTTAACTCCACCATCTTCTATTTTGTTGACTTTTTGTTTGTATTATCTTTTTTTTTTTTTAACGTTTTAATTTCCTCATCATTTTCTCTATTCCACCATCTTCCCCTTTCTCAATTGTATTCCATATAACAATATTTACCTAAAACACCCAAATAGCAGGTGTCAGATTCGATTATCGTCAAAAGTAAATTTGAACCATTTTATTATAACTAACCCAATATAAAGTTTAGCTAATTCCCCTTTAAGATAAATAATATTGTTTGTTAATAAAAAAAACCTCCCAAATAACGTGTAAACATTTTGTTACCCTTTTTCTAAAAAAAAATAACGTAAGTATGGTTCAACGTTTATTTATAGAATATAGTACATTTATTAAGTGCAAAATGTACTTATTTATATGATATATAATAAATTTACGTAAATCCGCGTCTAGACTAGATTCTAACCCGCCGTCCGGCTAGTGTCTAACGTTTTTTAACCTTGGTTTGTATTGATAAATTATGAATGACATTAACATTGTCTACTCTGATTTGGTTGTCTACATTTTTGAGATATTTTACCCTTTTAAGTTTCGCCCCTCCCCCTGACGATTTTTGGCTTCGCCACAGTATACGAGGAGTCTTTTTCCTTCATTTCCTTGGGTTTTGCAAATTTTTCAAATGATGTGGCTGTCCACATCAAATGCCATCTAAAGTGGTATAGAAATATCGTATAAAAACATAGTATGAATAGCATTACTCTTGTTAAAATCACTAGCGGAAAAAGGGACTATAACTAACCTTGAAGTGCTTCCAGTTTCCAAGGGTGACATAACTAGGAAACTCCCTATCCATTGTACTGGCGCCGACCGTGATCTGCCATGGCGATATATTGGAGACAGTACCTTCAGCCGGACCAGAATTCCCCGCCGAGCAAACCACCACAATGCCACGCTTAACAGCATGGAAAGCACCAATTGAAACACTGTCATTGAAGAATGTGGTGGGATTTCCACCCAATGAAACGGACAACACATCAACGCCGTCATCGATGGCCACATCAAATGCAGCCAATATGTCTGCATCAAAGCATCCACCTCCTCCCATTGGAGGCCAGCAGACCTTATAGGCTGCAACCCTGGATTTTGGTGATCCACCCTTTGCTGTTCCATTACCAAAGCCGAACACGCTTGCACCGGTTACGAAATTTCCACCAGCTGTTGACAAGGTATGGGAGCCATGGCCATCGTTGTCGCGCGGCGAATTGAAGGAGGAGTTGAGGGGGCCAGCAACTGCAGCAAAGCCCTTGTTGAAGTATCTTGCTCCAATTAGCTTCCTTTCATGGCAAAAAGTTTGTTACCGAATGGGTTACAAAGTTACCACTATATAACAAGTCAAAACCTTAATTTACAATATGAAAAATATGTTGGAAGTATATAAAATCCAGCGTCGAAAACTTTTTCAGATAAAATGCAACATACAATGAGTGATTTCATTATTAATAACATTGAGACTTTTTGCATAAATGTCACAACCTTTTATATATATATATATATAAAATATTAAGCTAAAGACAATATCAATATTAACTAATAGTGAGCCGTTATACTACTCCTACCAAAATACGCTTTTGTAAACTGCTGAGGGACTACCGCATACATGCAGATAACAAACTATATTAAAACAACAGTCATGTTCTGGACCTGTCTTCTCTCTCATTATTATAACGTAATTTGTTTTCTTAATCTAAAGAAGTTGCCTTGTAATATATGGTTCCGGCTTCTCTGCCCTTCCAGATCCCATACATTCTCATTCCTTTTTGTTTTGTGCGGTCACGGTTAAGCCATGTCGATATTTTATATTGATTTTTTTTTATAGAGATAATAAGACAAAAACCAATAATGATATAAAATATTGACGTGACTTAACCGTGACCGTACAAATAAGAAATGATAAGAATATATAAGAACTAGAAGGGCAGAGAAATCAAGTCCGTAATATATATGTTTTCTTTTACTGTCTTTCTTTTGGACTACAAGCGGTGAAAGAGTCTAATAGAATAGTGAATAGAAGTTAGATTTCCAATGAAGGATTAAATTTATATTGATATGGATGGGAGCATGAGGCATCTTCTTTCATGCTAGCTGTTGGACAAAGAGTTTGACTTCAATAGCTTGGTAGGTTAATTTATTGTCCTAGAGAAGATGTCTTTTTCAAATATTAAGCAAGCTGATTTGGGGGGAAAGAGATCCTCAAAACCACCAAATCAAGTCATCCAAACTTTTAAAATTTGATCAAACAGTTAAAAATAAAGAAGTTAGTAAAAACTTTTATAAGTTATAATAATTTTTTGCCGTTGAATTAAATTTTAAGGACCTGGATCACTTGATTTGATGGCTTTAGAGAAAGAGATACGAAGAGGATCTCTTTCTGATTTGAAAAGGCATTTTTCGTACTACCAATAATAGAAAGATTTTTATAATCCACTCAGTGCCACAATAAAATACATCGTCTAGATGAAACTAACCATCTGAGACTTCTTTTATGTTGAGAGTGTGAATCTAACATTGAGGAAAACAAGGACTTTGCGTGTGCTAATAAGTAATTAGGTTACTTTTCATATTATCAATTGGTTTTAAGGTGAAACCTCAACTGTCTTCGCTTTGAAAGAGTAAAGATAAATTTCACTATAGCACATGCTAGCAGGTGATTTGAAAAACCTTATAAATAAGATAGTTGATTAGGACCTTAGATGTAGTGTTCAATTAATAAAAAAATGAATCAAATTATAATCTAATTACATGAATTTTGAGAAATGGGATCATATACAAGGCATTGACGCAGATTTATATTCTCAATTTGTACGGTGTTCTAGGTTTCTAGAATATGAACGACCACAACTTTATGAGAAAGTTTCAAATGAATCCTCTTTATAGGTACCATTTTCCCCACTACTAAGGGGGATCACTCAGTTGGACCATCCAAGTTTGGATAAAACTGGGCCTGATTACAATGACCGAAGAAGAGTCTCTTGTTTTCTTGCTTCAATTTCAACAAGCGTGTTTTAGCAATGAGTGTATCTTTACTTTTCTGATAAGGTAATGTTCTAAACCACTTAATTTACAAAAAATGAATTTGAACTCAAATACAAGGGGCCAGCCCACTACAGTTCTTGCCTAACTCGAATATGCATTGGCAACGAGCCTATCCTGTTTAACCGTTACCAAGACACTTTAATTACACCATGAAATTTAACATTTGATTATTCTTGGTATTATAGAACAGCAAACATAAGAGTAAACTAAACTTGCTTAGAAAATAATCATAAAATTAAGAGTGGGTACCTGTTGCAGTGAAATTTTGGATCTGTCTGATTTTGACAGATTCCTTTCCACTTGGATGGAATCGGTCCATACCCTTCATCACTAAAGCTCTTGGATTTTGGCCATGCGCCTACATTCCATTCAACAACACTAGGGTTAAGAGTGCTCAACAAAACAATCGGAATTCTTTTTAAACTTACATCCGTCTTATGTTTCCATCCGAACTGATAATGTTAGAGTGAATTATGTAAAAATCAAGCTAAAACAAACTTTACCAATGTTGCAAATAAGGACAATTAAATACAATAACAGTCGAGTCTACAGTCTTTTTCTTTAAAACAAAAAATATCTCTTACTATAAAAAAATAGTTTTTGGATACTTATTTGTGAAAAACCAAAAGGTAATAAAATAAGAGGAAGCCAGGTAATGCCAAGATCTTTTCTAGTTAAATGGTGATCCAAAACTACATAAAAAAACCTTAAATTAGAGTTGAACCTTCCTGAGGGAAGCGTTGCACAATACTAATAATTAATTTTGTAGAAGGAATGCCTCCCTCAATGTCCATGAATTTTTGTCATATGCATCACGTGTATCAGTGGGAACCAATAAAATTGGTAGAATATATCAGAGCACCAAATTAATGGTTTCAAGAAAATGAAAATCAAATTGTGAACATTATTATGTTGAGAAGTACTCATTTAAACGAGTGACAATAACTAATAAAAGAGTCAACGATCCAAATCAAAATTATTGGGCACATGACATTGAGCTGATTGATGCCTTCCTATAATATTTGAGTGCATGAACATGACCTGGAAGTGAAGAAATTCGATTTTTAAATTTGAGAAGGAAAAAAAAAAAAGAAAAAAAGAAAAACAGAGATCAAGAAAACCTAACCGGTATCAAGGTTTCCTATGATCGAATCTTCACCATATCTTGCCTTCTTCCAGATTGAATTGGGTGGAACAACACCCTCTTGCTCAAGTCCCAAGAAATCCCACGATCGAGTTGTGTGTAATTTTCTTCCCTGGTTCAAGAATAATGAGACTACCTTTGGATGCTCTGCAGTATTTCAACGGCACCATATATAATTAAGAAGAGGATAAAAAGAACAGAGAAAAAAAGAAGATAAGAAAATAGTCTCACTTGCAATCTGAGCCGCCTCTTCTTCTTCTAGGGTGGCAGCAAAGCCATTGATGTGCCTTGTGTAGGAGTAAAAGAGGGATTCTTTTGCAGCTTCATGGCTGCATTTTGCAGAAAAAATTCAAACATTTAATCCGCGAAAGGCGGTGATTATGTATTTTAGTTGGAAATATGTGTTAAGTACCTGCCCAAGAAGGAGCCAAGAAACTCATAGTGATTGTCTGTGACTTGGTTTAGTTCAAGTTCCAATAAGTTTGGGGGATGTGAATGTGATCCCAAGTACACCACATATGACTGCAAAAACAGTAGAAAGGAGAAAGAAAAATGAAAAATTAGCACAAGTGCTAGTGAAATGCAAAGGAAGTTACTTTGGTTTTTTTGCAATTTTTAATGGAGGCAGAGATTGAATGCTTACCTTTTTGATGGCAAAGGTGGGAGTATGGAGTACTAGAGAGGAGAAAAGGAAGGAGAGGAGGCAAAGGGCTGTGGTTGGCGGCCTCATTGCTTGGTTCATTGACCCTTGTTTCCCTGCCTCTTCTGCAACACAGACTTGGGGTTTTAAAGACTTCCAATAGATGTTGGCAAAAGAAGCCTCCATGAACTTTGCAATGCCCAATATGGTATAGTTTAGCCTAGCTGGATAATGTAAATGTAATATATAAAATGAGGAGTTGTTATATTAGGATGGAGGGCAAGGTCCACTTGTTTCATATAGATCTTAACTTTCACATCATAACATGATTTTGTTATTACGAGTAATAATATAAGTAAACGACATGGTTGATATATTATAAATCTGTGATACAATATTAAAAAGTAATACACATGTTAGAATATAACCAATGAATTGATAATATCACGTGACAATGTGATCATCAAACCGAAATAGTACTCAATATTTTTAGTATTTAAGTTCCCAAATTATGTTAATGTGGACCCTCCTATTACAATAATTGAATATTTGGAGATGAAGGAACTATGAGTGCACAAAGAAAAAGGGGTTGGTAGATTGGGGGAAATTGAGTTTTGAACCTTGTGAAGTAGCCCATCAAGTGGCCGAGGAGATAATACAGCGAATTTTACAAATGAGAAGCCTGCACGTTTATAAGACATTGGACTCTTCCATAATTACATAAGCCAGTCCAATGCCGGCTGATGACAATGCCTAGTGTTGTTAGCTACAAGAGGGAACCTCCTTTGAGCCATGAGATACATTTGGCCCTTTTTTTTTTTTTTTTTTTTTTTTTTTTTTGGTACAAGGTAAACATTTTCATTACCAACAACCCACGTTTACACAACAAAGGTCCAAAGTCACATAAGTACAAGTAAAATTGGACCAACAAAGTTAAACAAAAAAGAATTCAAACCCAAATAAGAAACTAACAAAAGCAAAATTGGAGGTGTGAAAGCTTGCAGATCGTGTAGCTATATTTGGTTTTCACCAAAGCTAACCATCTGTTGAACTTTGAACATTGAACTTTGTATATGATATCCACTAGTTGTTAACTTACAATAAAATCATCCTTTCTTTTTTTTAGATTAATGTATCCATCGTTAACATATTAGCATACAAGGATTCAATCGTAGGTTTTTTATTAAGAAAAATTATATATATACTAGAAGGCGATAAATAATGAGTGCTAAAAAACACACCTTTCCCTTCCTCCCTCCCTCCTCTCTATGTGAATTTCTTTTACCATCTTGAAGAAACCCTCAAGGGTTGCAGCATTTACAAATCTAATTTGAATTTCCAAGACTCCAGTTAGTGAAGAAAAGCCGAAAGCGAGGGAATTGGTTTTATCTTGGATGCTTGGTTGTGAGAGAGAATGGCGTTATTTTTTAATGAAGAAAGCTTCGACAGCTGAGTTTGATGCCTTCTATCCAATTAGACCAGAATTCCTCAGATGGCATGCTGCCTTCTCTGAAGATGGTCATTTGGATATAGTTAAAGTGCTTGGACGAATCCAACGGCGGGGTGTCCATCCTCCGATCAAAAGTGGAGTCTGGGAATTCTTGTTAGGTTGATTTATTCCAAATAGCACCTTCAAAGAACGAAATCAGCTCAGGTGGCACTGGAGGTAATACATAAAAAAAAATAATTATTTTAGGGAAAATAATGGGTAGAAAAATAGCATTTTAATTTCATGGGATGAGATTATAATTTGGGTGAGAAAATAGTACTATTCATTCAATAGTGTTTTGATTGTTTTGCCTCTGTTTTAATGGTTGTTTTTTCCAGCCTAGTATTAAAATGTCCAAAATGCCCTTGCGATACATGCGTGGGTTGTCTGATATTCAGTTCATGAGCCATCATTCTCTCGTTTCGACAACATTCCTTTTCCCCCGACGGAAACCTTCTCAACGAAAGAAAAAACCTTCTGAATGATAACTCTGTAAATTGCTTCACTAGTTCACCCACAGCCACACCACCGCCGCCACCAACCTCTCTCCCCTCTTTCCTCTCTCTCATGCCGATTGCTGCGGAGAACTAGGCCCCAGAGAAGGTGAAATCAAAACAAAAACCTTTCAAGTTTCATTTTTTTAGTTGTTGGGGATTCTTGAGTCCCCCATTTCGAATTCACGGTTTTCATTTCTTTTTCAATTATTTAGTTTTTCTCTGAGAAAGAAATTTTTAGGATTTTTTTTTTTTAAAAGATAAACGGGCTACTCTGTAGAGGGATTTAATTTTCTTTATTTCTGGAGCAGAGTATTTGATCATCAAAGAAATAGGGCTACTCTAGAGAGGTATTCTTGAGGTTTTGTGGCTTGGGAACGGGAGGGAGTGAAAATTGTTACACTCAAAATTTGCAGGTTAACAATAGAACTCTTGATCTTAGTGGGCTTGGGCTTCAGGCTATAAATAAAATGAACTTAAGATTTAAGTAGTTCATTTTCCAAAGATGGATTACATTCAATGTGTTGTTCATAATATATTGATATAAAGGTAACAAGTGTCACTCGGCTATAGACTAAATTCTCTCTTTTCTCCATCGTCCGACCCTTTTATAAGAGGTGCCCACCCCTTTATATAGACCCTTAATGGATGCAAAAAGTCTTGGATTCACCTACTTTACTATTTTGGCCTATGTAGATTGGCGGGCTAACAATCTTTTTCGTTCATTAGTCATTCAGCGGTTAAGTGACAATTGTTCATTTGATAGGCCAACACGTACCGAATCTTGCTCAATGTTGACTAGTCAATGATGTTCTTTCCGAGTAGTGATCTGACTATTATCCTAAACTTTTGCCTTTGATTGGTGACGAACACATGGTCTAAGTTGGTGTCTATGTAGGTGTGTTCCTAATGCCTTGTCGGTCCAAAAGTGCTTTACGTTGCTTAATCAAAACAGACTGGTGAGCAGTCGGCTATAGTGCACAGTAGAAACCCCTTTCTATTCCATTAGGCTTTTAGACTTCCTGTTCATGCCTGTACTATTTTGAGGGTCGAAAAGAACCATATGTCAACAAAAATGAGTAGCAATAAGTGGAAGCATTTGTTTACGAATTTTTAGCGTAAACTAAGTGTTTTTGCATGGAAGTATCAAATTAATGTTTGTGACTCATTTGAAGAATGTGTTTTTTTTTTTTACTGCAATTGAGCAGATATTCTAAATCGTAGGTAAAATACTATTACAATAACAAATTTTAAAATTTACAAGTTGGTGCTTACTTCAAGGCATTCGGACTTGGAGCTTTGAACATTTCTCCTTCTTGTTCCGTGGGACTCACACAATATGCTAACTATATTTAGTATTGAACTTGTTATTTATAAAAATTGAACCTACATGTGAAAGATAATATCACTACACTGTATTACTAATAACAATTTTACTCATCTTTAAAAGGACAATAAGTTGGTAACAGGGGGTTGTTTGAGATTACTGATCTTTAAAAGGGCAATAAGTTTGAAACCCGGGCCCTGCCGCCCCGCCGCCGGGGGGGGGGGGCGCGCGGGGGGTGGGGGTTGTTTAGTTTGTTTCAGATTCAACCTACACCGAGTTATGGCAGATTTGGGTCAGGCTCTTTCTGGGCTAACCCAAGTCTAGTCATCCACCACAAATCCAACTGCTAACCAATCAGACACCATGAAACATGGCCCAAATACTATATGTACTGATATTTGCTCCCTTTTTCAGAACTGTAATCGGCATTTCATAGAAGTCATCATATAATTCTTCAATTTCTCCTCTACATTTTACAATAAATGAATGCTTGCTAATTTAAAAAAATTAATTACTTTTTTTGGTAAATCATGTTTACTGATTAATTGTTAAATTAGAAATAAGACTGAAAATGATTTGTAACACAAGTGGTAAAATGCTTCCACTCCTTTCCCCTAACTATTGCTTGAATTTGAGAGGAAAAAAAAGAAGAGAAATAAGACTCATTTATGCAAGTCACTTATAAATTGAATCAAGAACGTGATTCATAAATATGGTACAAAATATAAGCGTGTAGTTATCGAGATACACAATAGGGATGTGTCATTATATGTTTTACAAGTTGTTCACGTGTTTAATTTAAATCATATTGCAAAAAATGATGGTGAGAAAATATGAAGCCTTATCTTCCAGCGTGTATTGTTCAAATCTCTCTATCTATCTCCTATTAATTTAGATTATACACACTAATTGTAACATGTGCCGCATCTCCTACCTCCTACCTTGTAAGTACCCTTGGTAACAAATGTCCCACAAACGGCCGTAAGACAGTACGTTAGACCACCTAAAGCAAGGCTGTGATTTGTCTCATGCGGTGACTTTGGCGCCGTCTAATACCGGTCAACAAGGCGGTTGGCTCTCTCCTATCAACAGCTGCCCACTTACCTGGAAACTATTTTTAAAATTTTATGGGTGATGGGAAATAATAGGTCACCATATCCAACGCCAGAAACATCCAAACTTTCCACACTCCTGCAGAGCAAAGCTCAAGGCCGCCGTTTTTGGCATTATTAAGCTACTAATAACATTATAATGATACACATCAATATTTACCACTGATATCTGAGAAGATAAATGTTAATTTTGTTGCAGAAAAATAGAGAGTGAGAAATAATGTTGAAGAAAAAACCTGTTTCTGCCGTCTGCTGTTTGAGAAGGAGCAGTGCTATCTAATCTCTCATATCTGCAGTTGGATGTTCTGTTGTCTTTGCCTACTTCTATCACTTCCATCTTTCCTTATAAATCCCACTTCTCTGCACACTTCCCATGCAGTCAAGTAAATTCGAGCAAGAGAGAACAAAGCTAGACTTGAATACAATTGCTATTTTCTAGTAACTTCCTCCAATTTCTTTGTCATGCATAGTTTATGATTCAGATTCAGTACTCTAACTATCGGGTAAGCAATGTAATTAAGCTTCTTGAACACCGTGGACTCATCTCCTGTTGTCGTTGACACTTATAGAAGTAGGACTGTCTGATTGCTATACATTGTTGACTCATCTCCTACGCTTACACTTTCGCATTTAGGGTTGTTTAATCCCACGGTTCTTTACCTGTTGGAAACTAATGCAGTTAAACTTCTTATACATTGTTACTTTTCCTGTAACTTTCGTGTTTTTAGAGTTATTTGCTATCTAATATGGTCTAGGAACCAGGTAAGAATTGAGATCTGATAAAATTTCTCACCTGGATGACTTCTTTTCTTGCAAATCATTAACTGTCATAATTGCGGATAATTGGGTTGGATTATTTAGTTTATTGAGCTTCTTATTATTGTGCAGGCCAATTATGATGAGATGCACGATGATTAAGGATCAACCTATCCACCAGTCAAGAGGCACGACGTGCCTGGCTCCCTGGATGCCATCTAAGCAAATTGTCAATAACAATGTTGATTTTTCTTAGTTGGCATTAAGGGAGTCATGCATGTCTAGCTGTTAGACTGACCGACCGATCAATCCTCATCATATAATGCGAAGTTTAAACCAATCATTTCTTACAGTGTTAAGTACACAGCTACATAGAAGTGTGCTATTTTGTTGAGAGGAGGTTGGCTCTTAAGATTGATGAGGAGTTCTTTCTTAATTTATTATGCATTCAATTTACAAATATTTATTGGGAATCTTTATGAAACTTTTTATAATTGGAATCTTTTTTATTATAAATTATTTTATAAAAATTGTGAATCGTTTAGTCAATCAAATATAACAAATAAATAGACATTTCATAATAATTTTACTATATTCATCTATATTTGTTTTTGTATAGTTTGATGACGAAAGGTTCTCTTTTTTGTTTGTTACAAAAATGATCTTTATAAAATAATTTATAATATTCATAATTCCGATAATAAGTTTAAAATTTCATAAACTGGTCATGAAATGATGAAATGAGGAGGAACTCCTCCTCAACCATTGAAGCAAAACTCCACCTCAATTATTAAGAAGCCAAGTTAATTTCCTTTTTTGTTGATCCGCTAAAAAGCCTCTCTCCTTTCTGTTTTCTTGCTTTTCCCTCTTGTTCTTGTTTTTCTATTTTTTTTTTCCTTGTTTAAGATCAAGCCAAGGGGAATTGCAGTTCAAGTTGTCATCTATCACCATCTTGATTTGTAATTTAACAACCATGGTGAAAGGTACATTAGGCAGTAGCAGCACAATGCCTTATTTGTGTCTTTTTGTTTTATTATTAGGCCAATTTTTTTTTGTGTTTACTGTGGTGGCACAGCACAATCAATGTGACCTTTGTGTAAAAAAGTTGTTAATCAAACCTCTATGGTGAGTCCTGTTTGCAATTGAACTTCAAACCCAAACTTCCATTAGTATTTCGTTAAGCAAACTCACGTGAATATTACATAGAGGGGTCAAATTCATCATTTCAATTTAAATTATATTTTATGTCTGATTTGGTGATTGATCCCGTGAAAATTTGGGGGCTGACCTCTTTTTTCTCCTCCATCACCTGGCAGTGGTTGCTTCCTTCTGCTCTTGAAATATCGAGTATTCAAATGGTGAGTGTGTTTGTATTAGGAAATGAGTGTGTCGTGTGTTTGTATTAGGAAATGAGTGTGTCATGTGTTTGTATTAGGAAATGAGTGTGTCGTTTTGTACTTTAGCAAAAGAAAGGTGTGTTTCTTAAAAATAATAAAAAAAATTGCTCAACCAGTGAAACATATTTTGATATTAAAAAGGAAAAAAATTCAATTGCATGTTTAGATCTAGGAGATACAATTGCCAGGGATTCATTGCCAAGTGATGGATGAGTAGAAAAAGGTAGTCCACCAAATTTCTACGGGATCAATCACCAAATCAAACATAAAATGTAATTTTGATTGAAATGACAAATTTGACCTGTTCACGTGATAGTCAAGTGAGTTTGATTAACAAAAGATCAACATAAGTTTGGATTTAGACTTCAATTGTTAATAGAGCTCATTAACAATTTTTTTACCACATATGTTACATTGAAAGTGTCGTATCACCACACAGACCACTAAAAAAATGTAGCCATATTTTTATAATAATTTACCCCTTAGATTACCCCTTGCTTTTGTAATATAATTAATGACCTAACCTAAATAATTCATGAAGAGTATGTCATGTTACTAAGTGTGTGCATGATCGCGTGACTCTTACTAAGTGATTATAGTCATGGGAATGTGCACCTTGAGGCATCAAAATTTCCGCCCTAACTCGTAACACTTCAGCATAAGGCACATCACAACACAAAAAGAAAAATTTGAAGAGTAAATCACGCAAATTAAAGAATGTGTTAGCAGTGTGCAGTATATAATTGCAGACTAAAAAAATGTCAACTTTCTATATATAATTTATGGATAATGTTAAGGAGACTAACTTTTTAAATTAAATTGTGTAAACCAAATGATGTGTTTGTTGACGATTGGATTACTAATTAAGTGTCGATTACATGCTTATTTTTTATTGGTGACACATAATTTGATTTGTAAATTTAGTTTAAAATTTTAATCTCGCTAGCATTATCTATAATTTATATACTAATAGGTTAATAGCACAAAAGAGATTATGAACTATATAGTTTCACACATATAGCTAAGTAATAATTAGAATAGTGCAATTACAGGAGGGGTCTTGGAATGGTGGATGGGCTGTCCAGTTGTCGCCATATTTGTCCTTTAACCAGTTATATGAAGGGTACATGTGGGCCACTTGATGTGGCAATGCCTTACTTGTGTCTGTTTTGTAATTTTAAATTTACCCCTTTATTATTCAACACACTTGCAGCTTAAGGCAATCTCCAATTACGGCAGGATATGTACATGGCACGATGTAGGAATGAAGTGTAATTTTGAGGCTTTTGAATGTCTGTATATAGTAGGATGTAGGGATGGACAAATGTTATTTTGTGGTGCGGAATTGACGGTATGGATTATCGGCCATTTTTTATTTCAACAAGCTGAGGCAGTCATCTATCACCAAAGTTTTTAGGGGTTTTTTTTTTTTTTTTTTTTTTCACTAGCTACTATTGGGCCTCTGTGGAGGATTTTTCTTTTTGAGCTTAAAAGTATTTATGTTTTTTTTCATTTATGTATTACTTTTTAAGTTTATGGTGAATAATTATTACTCATGTTTTGTTTGCATAAGTGACATCTTCTTTCTATATGTGACATCTTCTTTCTATATGTTAATCCATTCTAGGGCGCAAGCCGTATTTCTACCATTTAGACTTTGTTTAATGAATGTTCTCTCCATGGAAGAAAAAGGCAATCTCCAATGCTTATTATTTCTCTCCAATGCACATGAATCAAATGTTTGGAGTTTTAGATGGTTGTGACTGCTACTTTCCTTTTCTTTCTCTCTTCGGGTTGATCATTTGGGGTTTTAAGTTGAAGCAAATTGATATATGGGTTTGAGTTTGAGATAATGTTAAATTTGAGTTCACAACTTTTATCATCACTAGTTTCTTTTACGAGTTGTGGGCGGGTATTCGTAGCAAAAAAGAAACTAGTTTTCTGGGCGACAGAAACTACAAGAATTTTGGGCAAAAGACACTGCAGAATAATTGAAGAATATTGGAAAATACCAATTTCCTTATAACACTATGACCTTAGCAGAAAACTAAACATATTATGAAAATATGGGAAAGAAATACCATTCAGGCAATATTTCAATTGTAATTACAATTCATTTGATCTCTAAATGATGGTGCGGAAAATGAAATAAAGGGTAAGAACTACTATTACTGTTTTGCTTTTCTCTCATAATAATACTACGATGGATAAGACGAAGCCCTATTGCTTTTCTCTCATAATAATACTATTACTGTTTTGCTTTTTTATGTTTGGTAAACATTCAGTTTCAGCTTTTTTTCACAGTTTTGGGTGAAAAAAAAAAGCCAAAAACACAAAGCTGCAAAATCCAGCTTTGAAAAACCAGTTTTTTTTCACATCTGTTTTACATAAAAGTTTATCAAACACTATAATACTGTTTTTTTTTTTTTTAAAAGCACTTTTACAAAAAAATTATACCAAACACTCTGCTGCTTTATTTCACAGCTGCTTATTCTCACAGCACATTATAATTAGTTTTTTTTAAAGTACAGCAATACCAAATCAGCTTGAAAACAAGTGTGGAGAAGCTAGTACATACAATTAGTTATCAATCACAGAATGGTGCATATACTGGCGGGTTCTTCATACGAAGGATAAGCCACCACGTATTGAGGGTAACCCATGGCACACTCCTCCTTCTTTTCCTCTTTCTTTTTCTCCTCCACAGGGATCACACTCAGCACATCAGCATACTTCAAGCTTTTTCTAAGCGAAGTTGTGAGCACAACTACATCAACCCCTTCCCCCGTTACCTCTATTTGTTCCTTGTCACGTTGATAACTTGCTGAGTTCACACCTGCATTATTAAACTTTAATTAGTAATAATTTGTAACTAAAGCTGCTAAATTGGGATTAGAGTTAATTTCTGGTATTTGATTAAATTATTGTAGAACACAGTTAATAAGTAAATTACCATCTACCCCAACTGCAGTTTTCATAGCTTTGGCTTTGGTCCTTTCATCGTGCACAGACAACTTGATCACGACCTTTTGCTGCAAACCAAAAAGAGCGATCGATTAGCATAGAACACAAATTTTGAATCAAATAATTTGTCTTTTCTGTTTCCAATGCATGTTTTTGCATGGACCTCAAATCTCAAACATACCTTCATGATCCTGGTTCTTGATTAACGGTGACGAAGATGAACCGAAGGTCTTTGAAGGCCTTCGGCCGGCTTTGAGAGATTGATGGGTCTAGAAGGATAGGGGTGTGTACTATTATGTTGTGTGTGAAAATTTGGTGAAAAGTGAGAAGGCACTTCGATATTTATAGGCCTCTTGGTAGTCTCAGCCAAGTGCGTTTCTGAAGAGAAATGAGAACATCATAGGCGGAAACTGATCCAGCGAGGGATCTCATGATCGTCGTCGTTTATCGCACATCTTGTGATCAGAAATCGTTTAAAATTTAAAATTTAAAATTAAATATAAATAATACCTAACGAAAACTGACCACACGATGTACGATGAACGACCACGATCACAAGATTTCTTACTTCCTAGTGCCTGTTGGTCACATGTTTTTATTTTATTTTATTTTGGTCAAAGGGTTATTGATCGCATCATGATATGAAAATTGGCTCTATCTTAAATGTGAGATTGACTTTTGCTTTTTTTATTTTTGTTTTTTCGTTCTGGAAAGTCAATTTCATTAATTCAATAGAAGGTTACAAGTCAACACAAAGGAAGGTAAAATAATTCAAGTACATTATGAGGAAAATAAATACATAAAAGTCCAGCCTAATTAAATAAATTAAAACGGAAATCCAAATCCCTAATCTTCACCAGCAGAAAGCAATGTTCGCCATCGTCATCACCACGAAAGTTTTGTCAGCAGTTACCGAAACAGCAACACTAGAGAAAACGATTGAGTGGTGAAAACGAACAAGACATTGCAGCATAAAAGTACCAAACCCGCAACTAGAAGCACACCACATCCAGATTTCTTCACCAATGACACAGAACCAAAAGATAGTCACTAGATCCAAATCTCATTTACGAATCCCTGCAAATATATACAAACACAATAACACATGGATAGAAGGTGAGGCTAAGGGGATATGTAAAATACCCTTACTTTGGCTGAAGCCGCAGTACACTTGGCCTCGAGGGAAATCTGGCATGCCAGTTGGGGGACAAACAATGAGGGAGAGAAATAAAATTGGCAACCATATTCAATCCAGAGTCTACAGATTAGAGCAAAGGATGGGATGGGGATGTTACTATGGATTTTTGTAGGAAGGACTTCACTTGTCAATATATGAGCAAGAATTCATGTCGTGTATGAATGTATAAACGCAGTTGTCACTTCGTTTTCTATTGAAAACCTTTCATTCTATAAAACTTATCCGATATATAGAAAGCTAGTTGTTACATCTCACCTTTCCGTTACTCAACTGGTTTTCTCATGCCCATGAATTGGGAAAGTTCATGAATAATCTTCCACACAAACTTTCTAGAAGGGAAAATAAAAATTTGTCATCAAAAGTGCTTGTAAAACATGAGTCCATCACACGATTAGTCCTAATATCTCCACTTTATATGCTTATGAAAGAACATAAGTGGCACAAATGTTAAAATAAAATTAAAAAAAAAAAAGAAGAAAAACCTAGTGCTAGATTATATATTCAATTTAAGCTCTTGAAGTGTACTTCCATTAAAATTTATATTCTATTTTTGTTATTTTTGTTATTTAATGTCTCCACATTAAAATTTTAATTTTATTAATATGCACAAATTAATTCTTTAATTATAAATGAACATAAATGAGAAAATATTAAAAGAAAGGGTAAATTAGGGACACAAATGACATACTGAAATATGTAAAATTGACTTCTTTGTACCGAAATATTTGTACATAAATATATTATAAAGAATCAAAATGTATATACCGAAATGTATTATATTGAACTAATGTACCTAAATGTCAATATCGAAATGTATGTAACGAGATGTATTATATTGAATTAGTGGATGCACGATACTATGTGGAGTAATGCTGAAGACTTCTAAGGCTTTTCAACTAAAGTATTTTATACAAGAAGAGAAAAAAGGAAGAAAAATATGATAGAAGAAAATAGAAGAAGTATGACAAGGATATTGTAGTTTATTTTACCTTAACTGTTTATAAGAGTCAAATACAATATACACACAAATATATACAAGGTTGAGGCCAAAAACAACCGATGACTTAATTCTGATTCCGACACTAATTGATGATGAAGGTCAATATGAGCATGCTCATGGGCTAATACGACTTATACATTCACAGTCACTTTCTAATTTCTAGAGAGAACTTTGAAAAGTAAAGCGACAATCAATGAACTTACAATTAAAGAAATTCCAGACAGCAGACGCACCAGTTATTGATAAGCAATTTCCAACTGTTCGAAAATTATTTTTGGCGTTCATGAAAGATAAAGCCACCCTTAATCAGGAGAAATTCTGGATTCAGCAACCAGATTACATGTTCGTCTGAATCCAGGAATAAAAATGGAAGTACCTCTCTCTCCTAACCTTTTGATCCTATTCCCTCTCATAAATTCTCTAATCCGACACGCACAGAAGACCTTGACCTTAATTAGCCCCAATTTACCGTGGTGGTCGTCTACCGATTCGTCGTTTTCAGTTTGTCTTTGTCCACGGGCTCCCCTTTCTTAAAAGCCGTGACGTGCTTACGAAAGTTCTGCCTTGACCCAATTACTTGTCAAAAGGAGAATATTGTTTTCTTGGATCACATGTTGTGGACTATCTTCCAGATGAAAGAATTCTTTATAGATCATCTGTCATTTTATTTTTTTGATATATTATTTTATAATATTAGACAAAAATTGTGCTACAAACATGAAAAGAGCCAGGCCAGACCCCAATAGAACCCCCCTTTCCCTCTTAGTTGTAATCTTATATTTTATCAATAACGTCTTTTTTTTTAATTAAAAAAGACCAACTAACGTCTTGTTAAAATCGCATTAGCCTACCTTGAAATCGACAATGTAAAAATGTTCTTGGAATTATCCTCATCATGATTCCTTCATATACCCAATAGGAGTATTTCATTCAATATGAAGAAAAGCAAGCATATATGAAAAATGCGAAAGTAAACAAGTACTAACAACGTCACACTCTTTATTGTTGTAATATTATGATTATGGTGTAATCAAGACATCTCCTGTGGGGATTTGTACACATTTTCCCTCTAAAAGCTATTGAATTAGTAAACTTCGGTAATTATATATGCCAAAGATGATAGGTCAATCTCTTTGCCCACATTTAATCTACTCCAATTTTTAGAGTTAAAATCAAATTTTAGGTTTTAAACTTACCTCAACTTGCTCCAACTCTTGGGCCAAATATGAGTTTTAACCCAAAACTCATTTCTACGGCAAATTTAGCCCAGAATTCTTACATGAGTTAGTCGGCTGGCCCACCATATATGTGTATATTTTTTCTAATTTTATATTTAAAATTTCATTTAATTCAATAGTTAAGATCTAATATGATCAAATCTAACAATAAAAAAAAAATTCTAATGGTCCAAATTTAAATCCAACGGCTAAAATAATTTAAAAAAAAATATTTCATTTGTTTCATATTCTTTCATATTGTCCATGAGTTTCATGGTTTCAGTTTAGTTTGATTTTTCAATATTTATCGGAATCTTATTTATAGATTAAAATGTTTATACAATAAAATTTGGATAGTCTACATAATTTTTTTTAAAAGTTACTTTAAGAAAAAATTATCCTAAATTCGTTATTTAATAATCTTAACTTAAAAATATAACTCAAAAGGATTGGAGCATAAAATTGTTCCTAGATTAAAACCTAAACTTTTTGAGTTTAAAGTTTTAGGTTTTACGAGTTAGAGACTGTCTAAGAAAACCTCGACCATGCAACAAGATTAATTAATCAGCAAAAGGTTCAGTCCTGTTAGTTAGGGATTGTTACTGGGAATCTCATAAAAATTGTAGTGACTGCACCAAGTTGAAAAAAAAAGTTTTAACCACGTGAACGATTTCATGTAATCGACTTTTGGTTTGGAAGGTGCAAAGAAAAAACAAGTTGGAAATAAGAGTTATTATTCCGGCAAACTACAAATTATTAAGAGAGTTTTAACGAAACAGTTTTGGTATTATTCACTATTAACGAAAAATCACATTTTTACTTTTCTCTGATACTATTTACTATATCTTTATTTGTCATTTTTCATTAAAATTAAAGTTTTTTTAGACTTTTCATTAACATTCCTAATTAATAATTGTCTCTACTTCCTTTTGGGGTCATCTATGGACAATGATGCGTTTAAGTCATTAGGGGGCAAATTGGATTAGTCGAAATTTTGACCAAAGTGTGAACCCCTTGCAAGGTACCCCATTACGTGGTTCACTGTTTGTGTGCTTGATAAATAATAAAAATAAATAAATAAATAAATATAACATATTGTATACGGTAGATTTATGATTCGTTTAAGAGTACTTTTAAAATGATTCAAAACTGTTTTAGAGAAAATATTTTTGCGTTTCAAAAACACTTAGATTGCTTCCTGAAATAATACACTAGTTATGTGTTTTTTTTTTTTAGGAATAAGTTTAAGTGTTTTTTCATGATTCACTTACGTTTTTATTAAGAGTTAGTTTCAAAAATATTTTCATAAAAAACCATTTTAATAATTTTAAAGGCATTTTCAAACAAATCCTTAAGCATCAACTCGTTGTCCTTCTTCTCATTCAGACAAAAAAAAAAAAAAAAAAAAAAACCTCAATGTTGAAGAACTAGCTACTACTAGAAAATATTATTTTACCGATAATTTCCAAGCCGACTAAGTAAGAGTGTGTCGGCACAACAACTTTCACCCGACAAATTTTTTGCTTTGTCAGCTAAACGTGCGTACCATGGTTAAGATTTTGAGGCAAACTCTTCCAGACGACATAGTGTTATTGCCTACAAAATATTTTGTCGGTAGTGAAGTTCCTAGCCGAGAACTTGGCTTCGTTGTGTAGGATTTGGTGGGATTTTTCCTACCTTCTTAAAACTTACATTTGAATACTAAATTTTTTACGGTTAGGGCTTTTTAAATTCCTAAGCCTAATTAATTAACGAAATAAATTGCGATAACTCTCTTTAACTTTCACGCTGCTTCTCTCTCAATCTATCACGCTTCTCTCTCTATCTGGTTTTTCACATCCCTCTTGCCGCCTCGTCTCTCTCGCTATGTCGTCCTTCACTCATGGACTCGAATTTACGCTCTCTTTCCTTCGAAAGGTAGGTGGCTTTCAATTGGTCTTTCTCATCTCTCACTCACATCTTTGTCGCTCATCTCTTTCCCGTTCTCATATTTATCATTGTGCACCTTGTTGTTGCAGTGCGTGGCCCAAAATTTCTCGCCAAATTTGATAATAGAAGGTACTATAAATTGTGCCCGCGCGTTGCTGCAGAATTGAAAATTGTATGAAGAATTATGCAACTGTATTCTCTTCGTAAAACAAAAATAACAGAAAGTTTTAAATAATTAGATAATGGAAATTGGGTACAAAAATATTAAAGTGGCAAAGTAAATGTAAGTGGTGAGAAAAGCTATACTAATTATGCCCCCCATCTTTCTTGAACATAGGTTTGAACAAAGAAGCAACCATTTCTACTTTTGGTGATTGAACATAAACTCCAACATAAAATACATGACATGATAAAACATTAAACTTTGTAGGTGACATCGTACGAAAATTGCTAGTCCAGACGCAACAAACTAATACATGACATGATAAAGCAACAAACTTTATAGGTGAGATCGTATGAAAATTGCTAGACCAGACGCAATAGTGTAATATAACGGAATATAAAAGGATTTAGAAAAGTTCAATTTCCATATCAACTAAGTTTCTAAAATTAAAATTAAAATCAATTCAGTTACAATTCATCTAGCAGGATAATCATCAATTAAGTTGCATTTCAACAAAAATTAGACATGCGACCTGTAAGTGAAGAAAAAGAAGAATCTTACTACTATAAGGCCACTTTTCTTGTCGAGCTCATACTTAACCTTGTAGTAGGTCTGGAAATTATAAAAATCCATCCAGTCAATTGACAGAATACAATAGTTGTGAGTAGGTGAATATGCAACCAAGAATCTAAGATATACTTGACAAATTTGCGATTCCATTGTGCCTAAATGATAACAAATAATTTGCCCGTTATAGACAGTACAATTTATATACAAACTCATCATGAATGAAACAAATTTAAACACCAAAACAGAAATTTATTCCTCCAGAGTAGAGGGGGGAAATAATTTTTTACTTGAAAAGTTGGAGTAGCACTACTACATAAATTACAAATGCAAATTGAGGGAATACCTATCAAATAAAGTTGACTGCATTCTAAGCAATGCTAAAGAAGATTCTTAATCTTTTCAAGTGCTACATGCAGCGAACATAAAGTTTGGATACCAGACTTGCTCCTAGTTGTTTCCAAAGAACGAAAAATTGACGTGATTTTGGAATAAATTGCAGAGTGTACCTTACACAGCTCTCCATGCAACTGCATAAGAAAACAAAGACAATCAACCAACGATGTACGATGATAAAACTATAAGACGAAATAAAAGGCTGATATTCAGATGACCCATGGTGATACTGATCCAAAAAAAAAATATATATATATGGAGGACAACTTCAAAATTGAGTTTCAGAGAGAGTGAGAGGTGAAGTCACCTTGTAACTAGAGACCAAATCCTTTTTTTTTTTTTTTTTCTCATTACCCACGTTGCAATTCAACTTGAGAAACCCGAAACCAAACACCCAAACAAAATTCAATCAAATATCAGCACGAAATATTAATTGGAAGCTAAAAAGATTGAAACTTGCCTAATGTGATGTGTACAGTTTGGGCATCTGCTTGTGGGACTGTTGTGACATGCTGATCTCAGCTCCTTTAAAGTAACATCAGCCATTGTCTGCCAAGTAGGTAAAATCCATAAGATATCTTATAATCCATGAGATAAATTATTGCGTCAAAGTTATATGCTAAAAGAAAATTCATACTTCTATATGAACCCAAAGAATGATTTTTGTATATACCTTGGTGGGTTCATTCTCCAGATGAGTTTCTCTACTCATCATCCATGTCATGTGAAAATCTCATGCTAACTTCTGCAGAAAGCCACCAAATAAATGAAAAATAAAATTAGACAAAAAGGTTGGAGAGAATATGAAATAACTAATTAGAGAGAGAAGAACCATAGTAACCAATCGGGAAAGATGCTTTTAAATTCCAGAAAAAACATTTAAGACAAAGTGAAAAAAAAAACCATCATTTTTCAATTATTTTTCAGTCTTACAGCGGGATTACACAGAAAATATAAATAAAATCCCCAACTTTCTCAGAAAACTACAACTATTTTTACAAATTTCCATCACCCAACATTGAAAAATGAAAATTAAGAAGCAACACGAAAGCAGGCAAACAACAGAACAAAAGAATGAAATATGTGAGAAACGAAACGTTAAAAACAGCACATACCCGTTCAAAAACAAAAAATCCCAAAAAATCTGTATATTAGCACTCCCTGCAATACCCCAAAATCAGAAAATTAGAAAAATTGAGTTTGGTAACATTGTACCTTAAGAAACCTCTAAATTTCTAGTCAAAGGAAAATTAATACCACCTCTGCATAAAAAATAATCAAAAGATAAAAACTCAAATTCATACAGCATTTGTTCAAAGTATTTATTAGAGAAACTTGCATATGGATGAAGGTGTCGATCTCTTGTATCATGTAGAGCAGCATTGCCTGGACTTCGCGAATAGAATAGGTTATCAGCATTTAAATGATTTTCATACACTTCGCGAATTTATTGTACTATAGATACAAAGAAACTAAACAAAATATATAGCTTTCTCTTTTTTGGGATTTGAAATTTTCGAGAGCCCCATCCTCATTTTCTTTAGTCCAGACAACAGATTGAGAAGCCTCTTTACAGAATACACACATGCATGAGTCAGAGTCGCTTGATTTGAAATTCGGCCATGAAAACGAAGAAATGGAGAGGTGGTCGTGCTTTACCTTTATCGGTGATGGGATTTGCGGAGTCCTCCGTGAAGGCAAAGTCATCGATGATGAGTGCAGAGCCGATCTGAGCAAGGCACCGCGAGATGGTGATGGATCCTGATCCAGTTTGGGGGTTGAACTTTTGGAGATCGATTTAATTTCTTGTTTCAAAAGTGTTAATCGAAGAAGACGCAGCAGAGATTTTTGCAGGAGGTGTGTTCGGGAAGGAGAGGGCTAGAGTTTTTTAGAAAGAAGCAGACGTCTGAGAGCTTGGCTTCGAAATGAAACGAAGAGTCCAGAAGGACCAGAATTTCTAGAACCACATCAACGCGTCGAGATCCCGTAGAAGCAGGTTTCTTTTCCATGATGACCAACACATGTATACAAAGGGTATAATTGTAAATTCACTGTACAACAGGTTAAAAATAGCTGTGAATGGGCAGCAGCTCAAGGGTAGTTCCACCAAAACACTGCTCATGAACAGTGCTTTCTACCGGGTTTTAGTATGTAGATAATGTGATGGAGATTTGGATAACTACATTGTTTGTGGAGTTTTGTTTTTGGTCCTATTTTGATTATTGACCTAGAATTGGATATTGAATTGAATGGTTTGTTTTTTTTTTTTTTCCTAATTTTTTTGTATTGGGTATAAATTGAATGATATATTTTACATTTTGATTGGGTATGGAATTGATGGTATGTTTGGAGTACGAGGGTGAGGCGTGTTGTGCATTCACCTATTGCTTGTTTTTTTCCCTCAATTGATGCTATATTATTTGTTCAAATTGTTAAATTTAAGGGTTGGGTAAATTGATTTTAGGGATTTTGATTGTGGCCTAGGTTCTGATTTTTTTTAGAGAGATGGGGCTTGACTGTGGCTTAAGTTTAATTTTTTTTTTTTTTTTTTTTTTTTTTTTGTATATTCTTTGCACATTGAAAAATTCTGGTACTATTTGGGGGGTTTTGGTGTTGCAAGTTCAGCGGTTGGCTTCTGCGTGGCTTTATTAAGCTAAAACAAGTGCAAGCCCAGTGTGTGATATTCCTCTTCACTTGTAAGTGAGAAGTCTCATGTCGAATCTTGTGTATGGAAAATTCGATGTCAAATTAGATTGTCCATTGTGTGGCTTAGCCTCTCCCTCCCATTAGTGTAAAATATTTCGTTGTACTAAGAAGAAGAATAAAAAAAAAATTATTGTGTAACTTTTTGTACCTCCTTTTGTTCATTGTGATTTACATCTTATTCAGGGACTAAAGAGAACTTCTCAAATGGGAGGTGGTTTGAAATGCTGATTGCAAGGTTTGGATGAGTTGTTGTCTTGGCCTCTAAGAATATATGTGTCTGGTACATGCTTTCTCATCCAAGATGCAAGTGAAATTCAAGTTTGATACAAAAAGAAATACCTTATTACAAATATCACTGCGAGTAGAAATATTTATTTATAATCTGTTTCACGGTACTTGCTATTAGGAATACATAATGAATAAGGCTATCTAATTTTGAATTTGAGAAATCATAATCTATGAACTCTTTAGATTAGGTATTTTTAAATCAATTATGATGTTATGATTTTAATTGTATGCTAGTTGATGTGTAAGATTGGATTTGGAGACAATTTGTTGCTGTTGTTTAGAATGGTCTGAATTGTTTTCAATTGCCATTTGTGTTGAAATTTATCCTTCGTCTTTTATTCTTTTCAGGTGAACTTTGATATAGACACCAAATTTATGAATACTATGACTACCTCAACAGACTCAGGCTCGTTTGATACAAGAAGTTCATGTTTGAGTTACATGAGAGTTTCATATCTCGGCCCTTGCTATTAGGAATATTTATTTATAATCTGTTTTACGGTACTTGCTATTAGGAATACATAATGAATAAGACTATCTTACTCTGAATTTGAGAAATCAGAATCTATGAACTTTTTAGATTAGGTATTTTTAAATCAATTATGATGGTCTGATTTTAATTGCATGCTAGTTGATGTGTAAGATTTGGATTTGGAGACAATTTGTTGTTGTTGTTTAGAATGGTCTGAATTGTTTTCAATTGCCATTTGTGTTGAAATTTATCCTTCCGTCTTTTATTCTTTTCAGGTGAACTTTGACATAGACACCAAAATTTATGAATACTATGACTACCTCAACAGACTTAGGCTAGTTTGATACAAGAAGTTCATGTTTGAGTTACATGAGAGTTTCACATTCCGGCCCAGGTCCCCACCACATCTCAGGCCTGTTTTACCACCGTAGCACGATATTGTCTGCTTTGGACCCCGACCATGCCCTCACGGTTTTGTTTCTGAGAACTCACACGAGAACTTCCCAATGGGTTGTCTGCTTTGAACCCCGACCATGCCCTCACGGTTTTGTTTCTGAGAACTCACACGAGAACTTTCCAGCGGGTCATCCATCATGGGATCGCACGTTACTCGCTTAACTTCGGAGTTCCCATGAAACTCGAAGCCAATGAGCTCCCAAAAGGCCTCGTGCTAGGTAAAGATGGGAATATACATATAAGGCATACATGATCCACTCCCCTGGATGATGTGGGATGTGACAAGTTACATGAGAGTTTGGACGAGAGAACCAGGGCAATAAGAGCTTTTGTATGAACATTTTCAGGCAGAGTGATTTTTGATATATGTTGGTTGGTTCATTTGTAACATTCCTTCAATTTTGTTTTTATAATTTCACATATGATGCTTTTGTATAAGCACTGTAAATATGCTTTTGTACATTCAACATTTAAAATTCAATAAAACATAACTTCTTAACAATTTTGTGCATTGTGTTTTGATATGCATATGTAATAGCTGACAATTAAAGCATTTTTTTATTTCATTTTTTATAAATCAAATGTATTCCCAACAAAACAAATTTGTAAGGAGAGAGAAGACTGTGCCGACGAAATAGCCATAGCGACAAACACATTTTGTAGGTTGAAATGTATTATTTGTCAGCTAAAAAGGCTTGTACGGACAAAAATATTTGTCGAAAGATGGAAATGCTAACAAAAAGGATTTTGTCGGGAAGTTGATTCATAGCCGACGTAATACCAAATTTTGTCGGAAAAATTCTCAGGCGACACGCTTTTAGCGACAAAATTGCCGACAAACTTTTTCGTCGGGAAAAACACTTTGGCGACAAATTTTGACTTTTGCCTACAAATTAATTTTGTCGGTAAAGTCAAAATTTCTAGTAGAGAGATAACATACATGTGAGATTTAAAGATTGTATTCAATTCTTTAAGTTATCCTCCAGGGGTGTGCTATCCACACGTTCATTTTTTACTTCATACACATATTTTTAATTTGCAGCCGTCATATCAACTGAATTTAAAAAAAATCAAATGACAAAAATTAATAAAGGGTATGTAAGAAGTAAAAATAAATGTGCTACACACCCCATCCTCCAAGTTAGATTTTTAGAGGGAATAATATCAAAGTACCGTTTCAATTGGGTTGTGTCTAATGAAGACAAATTGCTTTGTTTACCGAACAAACACGTCGGTTTCCAAACAGTGCCTATATACGAGCAGTAGCAACTGCTTCATGTAACCCATGTGAACGGATGTGCCTTCACCAAAATGAAAAGGCACATTTGTTCATCCAATTCAAACTGACAACAAATGAAAAAGCAAGTTTATAAACAAACTACCAGCACATGGTAACCACTCATTCATAATCAAAGGACATGACCATCAAGATTCTTAGTGTTTATAGGTATAGGTTTTCTAGTACGATTAAGTTTGATTTACTTCATGTTTTGGATTATTGCATCTTGTTTTCCTTTGGAAGAGAATAATAAAGGATTGTGATTTGTGAGTGTGTCTGAAATTATGAGAGAATTCTCAAATACTTTGTTTAACTTGGTATAAGCATAGTTCCATTATTAGTTGAACCATGATGTGCTTGCTTCACTGTGTGTGTACAAATCTAGCTAGGTTTCTTCATGCACCCACATGCCCGACACTTGAGAATGATGATTATGCTTGCGCTTCCTTTGCCCTTGAACCATGATGTGCTCGCTTCACTGTTTTGTCTTTGCCTTTACCTTGTCTTCCTTTTCCGTGGATTGCTTTACTTTTGTCTTGCCCTAAAGTTTATGTTTTAGGTTTTGCCCTTTGCCCTAAAATTTGTTGCAGTTTGCTTTTGTTGCCTTGCGCGCTGAGTTGTTTTGCCCTTCTTGTTCTTGCCTTGATATTGCTTTGCCATTGTGATCGTACTGTGTCATTATCTTGCTAGTGTTTGTGGCTTGTGCTAGTTGCGATTATGTTTGTTGTTTCTTAATGACCTCGCCCCCTTATTGTCATCACGCAAATATTTAAATTCAATCTTATAAGCAAAAACTGTGTTTGCACAAGTGCTCAAATTTGAAGGGAAAATCAAAAAATTTTGTTATGTAATATTTATATGTAATAATGCTATATATTAAAAAAATTATTTTTATTAGTACTATAAAATCGCATTGTGCACTCCTTATAAATGTAATTTTTTTCTTCTAAGGGTTGTTTGGTATTGCCGTATTTTTTAAAAAGACTGCTTCTGTTGTGCTGTGAGAATAACAACTGTAAAATAAAGTTATTGAGTGTTTGGTAAACTTTTTTTTTTTTTTTTTTTTTTTTTTTTGTAAAAGTGCTTTTAACAAAAAAAAAAAAATAGTGTCTGAGTGTTTAGAAAACTTTTATATAAATTGCTCTGAATTTATTAAATGAGTAAAAATGATATGCTATTTAATGTGATATAATAATTGTCAAAGAGAATAATGTAGAAGCAATAATTGTAATTTTGTGAAAAAAATGTAGAGATATATTTGCTATTTGAAAATTTCATTAAATATGCACTGATTACTATGCTTTGAAAAAATAAGCACTTTTTTTAGAAGCAAAGTAGACTCTGTTTCTGCTTTTCTATGTTTTTTTGTTGTCATTAACATCAATTAAAAAAAACATTTTTTTTTTGTGTTACCAAACACATTTTTGTCACATCCCCGCCCAGGCTCCCATCACATCCCAAGTTCGACTCTACCGTAGCACGATATTGTTCGCTTTGGGCCCCAACCATGCCTTCACGATTTTGTTTTTGGGAACTCACGCGAGCATAACTTCCCAATAGGTCACCCATCCTGGGAATGTTTTGGCCCCTTTCTCGCTTAGCTTCGAAGTTCATACAGAACCCGAAGCCAGTGAGCTCCCAAAAGGCCTCGTGCTAGGTAGAGATGAGAATATACATATAAGGCTTACATGATCCACTCCCCTGGGCGATGTGGAATGTTACAATTTTGAAGTTTCAGATTTTCTAATAACCTATTTTTTTTTTTAAAGAACCACTATCCCAAA